GTCTTAAACGCGGCAATCTGTCCCGATTTCCGTTCGCGGATCGCAGAATTCCGATTCAAAAAACGGAGCGATCAGCGTCGATTCTGCTGGTGTTGGAGAGTTACGAGTTGCCGGGAAGTTTCTAGTGATTTATCAGAGCTCTCTAACGAGCTATATTTACAGCCCCGAGCTTTTACTTCTGATTTATCGCGTTCGTTATCCTATCTCTACCGGCGGCCGTTGTACGCGAAGAACGCGGAACAACCGTGGCGCGATTATTGCCGAAACGGAAGTGGACTTTTCGGCTGGCGTTCCCGACCGGATATCGCCGCTTCCGCTATCTCAGCGTTTTCATTAAAGGCCCACGCGGCTGGAAAGCGTTATCGTTCGTTCCATCGCGCGGAACTGGACGTGTACGCCGATTAGATTCCGCCCTGTTTCGACCAATCAGCCACCGTCCAGCATCAATTTTGCCACAGGAGAAAGGAAGACCGAGAGAGAGAGAGAGAGAGAGAGAGAGAGAGAGAGTCGCTTCCGGGCTCGAGACCCCTGGAATACAGCTCTATCGCTGGAAGAACGCGAATTTTACTCGATTTTTGGATTATTCCTCGAGGCTGGTGAGTTCATCCCTAAGATGAACGATAGCGATCGGTATTAGGCTACCACTATTACATCGATTGATAGAGAAAGATGAAATATCCCGTTTCTTGTGACTTTAGAATTTCAAGATATGATTTTATAGGATCATTTATTTTATAGGAATTCTTGAAAATATTTTATTTCGGTTATCCTGGAATTTTTTATTTCTTCATTTCCTATTTTATGATCCCCTCTGGGGGTCTTCGAGATGTTATTTCTTAGGATTATTTGTCCCCTGATAATTCTACGAGGATTTTTCTGTGGTACTGTGTTGCTCGTCCTTGTTTTCTTGATAATTTTGGCACATGGCTCTTCGGGATTATTCAGTTGATGAAAATTAGTTATCGTGGAAGAATCTTATTCGAATAATAAATACAATTACTGTAAATTCCATTCGTTAATGAATAGTCCACAGATTAGTCTTCGATATTTTCAACGATTTCAGGGATGAGGGAATTTTTAAATGAAAAATTGGAGAAAGCGAGGGACGATCCTCAAGAATCTATTTTAATAATGCAAGAATGTAGGATATCTTTAGACTTTGCCAGGTATGGAGGTCCCGTTAGAGTCTGGCGGCCAGATGAGTCTCGGGAAGTCGGGGCCAGGCCACGTGAGGTAGCCTCGCTCAACCCCGGTTTTCCCCATTGTAAACCGGGGGTGCCGCGTCCGTGGGCACCTCTCGGGAAGGGTCCCCGCGTGGGTGACCCTTCGGAGAGCCTAACCTGAAGGAGGAATCCCTTCCACCCCAGAGAGTTACGTGGGGGGAGTTTCCTCCTCCTTCGGGGGAGGTCCTTGCCTTCCAGACAGGCTTAAAAGGGTCCGCTCTGGAAGAGAGAGGGAGAGTTGAGAGACAGTAGAGAGTCGAGAGTTGAGAATAGAGTAGAGAGTTGATAGCTTCGTGAGACAGTGCCGTTTAGGGAGTCCCTTCGGGAGAGTTCGGTTTTAGAGAATATTAGGTCAGTGCTGACTGTGGCGTCGTTACATTAGTGAACCCCGTTAGAATCCCATAAGTGGGATTACTAGTTCGTTTCGGGTTTTATTACAATAATAAATATAATTACCCCAAAATGTACCTGTTTCACCTTATCAAAAGCGTTCCGGAAATCTCGGAGGATAGAATTCGGGACGCTGCAACAGCTTCTCTACCCGGGAACACCCCTAATCTCCGTCGTTCCGTCGATTATGGTGGCGAAATACGATCTTGGAATCGGGTACCGCCGTTCTTTTTGCCGCCTCATTAACTCCGTCGACAGCGTTAACTCCTGTTTTATTGCGCGAAACTGCGAGGGAAGAGGGGTGCGTTTAACCTGGCGGGTTTAACTCGGCGCATTTTATCCGCCACGTTCGCTGCTCGTACCGACCAGCTTCCGGAAGTGCTCGAATAAGCTCTCTGGAATTATTATCGAGCCAGAGAGAAGAATCCGGCGAAGGAACGCGGGTGTACGAAAAAGAAAGGCATAGAGGAGTCTGAGGCACGTCCCTTCTCCTTCTTGCACTTCCGCTTTCGCTTCTTCTCCCACGTCCTCGTCTTCGTTTTCTTCTTCCCTCGGAATCGTTCTAGCAGCAGTTTCTTGAAATACCGGTACGATATTCCCCCGTGAACTCGTGCGAATAATTGAGAGAGATTCCCATCAGACTCTCCGTCCTTGTCCCGGCAAGGCTCGACGACGCATTAGCTCGGCTAATGGGAAATTTTTCCGGCCCGGACGAGCCGGCGTACACGCTTTTCGGTGCATCGAGTTTCCCGGCCCCGCCGCTACACGCCGGATAATATCGACGAGGATTCCTGCTTCCTAGCTTTCACTCCCGTCTATTTTCTGTCCCATGTTCCCGCGTTCAGGATTCTTACGCGATATTTCAGGGAGAAGTCTTAGCGGAGAGCGGCGACCGAGCGTAGCTGCCTTGGTTCGCCGCGGTGGCGCCAGATGGCGCACGCGAGTACTGGCCACCTTGGCCTCTGGTCGACGCGGGAGTATAGAGTATTTTAGAGTATTATATAGTCCACTGAATCTTCGTGGTTAATGTACAGGAAAGCATTTCTCTGATGAAATACGAAGAATAAAGGCACGAATTGTTTTATTGATTAATTTTAATAATTGAAAATTATAATTTTAATAATTACTTGACATTCCTCTAATACATCAAGGGAGAATCGTAGAAGCAGTATTTTTGATAATTTTGGATACATTTGTATCGATTTATTTGAAAATTGGAAAAGTGTGCAATAAAAATATAGAATACTGATATATAAATTGAAATACAGACAAATTTTTGTAAGTTTGCCAAGATCCGAAAAATCAAATAATATGTATACGCGTTCCCCTGATTCGTTCTTTTTCAATATTTATGGAAATAATCGCGTGTACATATTTGAGTCATTTAAATACTGCACATTATGAAATTGAAGAGAAAATTCCGACTGAATATGCCCGATTAAATATGCCCCATTAAAATCACTCGATTTGAGCAAACATGTGTGATATCGGAACGGCTGTTTGAATTGGATACGGTTAAATATTTGAGTCGAAGAAATTCCTCTTATATCCCGAATCCGTTTATCTCGATAATTAGAGAAGGAAAAATTCTGCAGCCTCGCTTCCCAGAAATCGGGCTTTATCGCGAGATTAATTTCCAATTTCGTGGAATTTTCCGGAGATAACAATCGCACGAATTTTCCGAATAAATATCTCAACCTTCCCCACTCGACTAATTTAATCGCGTTAATCTAATCTCCACTCATTTCATTGCGCAAAAATTCGTTTCTAAAATCGTAAATTTTCCTTTCCAAAATATTTTTCTCCTCGAAGAAAATTTTCTTTACGCTTTTGGTATTTAGAGATCACGTTATACGACTTATGGCATTACAATGAGAGCAAAGATACGAAATTTCAACATCGCGATATATTTTTACAGCTCATATGACAGATAATTTAACAATAAAATGGCGGATAAATATCACGAGAGTGTTAGAGTCGCAACTATCCCTCCAAATTCTATAGAATATTTCCATCAAGGATCGATCGAAGCCTTCACCGTCGTATCAATTTTCCACACTTCCGGATTAATTTCCATCCGTAAATTACACTCGCAGTTTGCAAGCCGTTCAAAAACATTCCTCTCTGACTTCGATCGATCGCCAATTACAAATCACACCGAGATCTCGCGAACCATCCAAAAACACGCTCATTCCCAAATCAAATTACCCTAATCGCGAGTTCCACTCGAACCTCGTTATTCATTCTCCAGCACCCTCTCCGCCGACGCGCATCTCTCTCGCGCACACGCGCGTAATTCCGAATTCTCCCTATCCAATAAATTTATCTACGGATTTATCCACCGATAAATCTACGGTCAACTCTTCTGTAAGACGCTTAATTTGTTCCGTGTTAAATTAAATTTATCGAATCTTTAATCCAAATATACCCTGGTTCCATAATATTACTTGATTCTACTGTTAAACAAAATTCTTTGATGCATGTCACCGTCCATTTTTAAATTAATTCCAATTTTAATATTTGGCAAAATACAGTACATTCCCTTCAAACACACAGTATATGCCATTCTGTGAAACGTAAAAGGGTTTTAATGCATTCTTCTCCAGATATTTATTCGATATGTATGCACTCGTAACATTTATATTTGTTAGATTTAATAATTAAAATATATGGGTTAAATTGAAACGTTTAAATATGCAGTATATGACAAGAAAGAAATTTCGAGGTTGTGTTAACCCTCTATGGGCCCGTGTAACTTTCAAGTTACATGCTGATGTATGGGTATTTTATGAAATACTGCATTTAACGTTATCGTCTTGATCACTCCAGTTCGCGATTTTTCTTTCGATATATTTATAATTATTTTTACAATACCTCCCGTGGGTCAAATATTTGTTGATTTTATGTTACGTACAATTTTGATAGTCAAGAAAAATATGTATTCGGCCCATAGAGGGTTAATAAAATTAAAAAATAATTCCACGTTGTTTACGATATTTATTAAAGAGTACATTCATTGGAGATATTGACCGTGGTGGCGCTAGTGAGTTAAACGGAAAGCCCTCTTAAGACTGTCGTGAGCAACAAAACACGAATTAACGTAATATTGGAACTTCCTATCTCTTATTTAACGATGTTTCTGACTAACATTACACAATGCTTAATATCTTTTGCGACTATACCTAATATATTTGTAATTAACATATCGCAAATCCTGCACGTATCGTTGAATTATGTTTCCATTTCATTCGTTTTCTCTGCTAAACACGTCATTATTGTTTCAAAGTAGTGTAAATACTATATATTTACTTATGAAAGGCTGTGGATTGTATCTCCGAGTAAATTCTTCATCGTTTCTCTATCGACGAATTGACATTTCAGACTTACCTCTATGATGCTGATGCAGATCATGAGATAGGGCGGTCGTATCCGGAAGTTGGGCTTCCTGGGCGGCAGCGGATGCCTGGGCGTTGGTCTAGGCGTGACCTCGTCATCCTTTGTCTTCTTGTACGACGAGATGACGATGATCGGCGATTCCGGGGAATAGGGCGAGTCTGGGCCGGAATATGTGGTGTCGGTGCAGTCCGACGAGATCGTCGACAGTGTTGGAGAGTTCTCCAGCAAAGCTGCCTCAACGTCCATGTTGACCTCTCTGAAAAATAGATCATACCCATAAGAACGATTAAGAAACTCGAATATTTAATTTCCGATTACAACCAGTGATCAAATTATTTCCAATTTAAAATACGACGAAGGGAATAATTATTTTTATTCGAATCCTCTGAGACCAATGATGGGAAAAGATAAGAATGATTATAATAAAAAGTAACTGGGCTCTCTTAATTCTTTACAGGGATGATGGAACGAGTAAATTCTTTTTACTGGACTTTTCGAATTCCACGAAAACAGGGATGATAAAGTGAACGATGTTAGCTTCCTACTTTGGGTAACACAGATTTTTAACTTCCTCGAGAAATGACGAGAGACTTTACCGAGTCAGATCCGTTGAGTCTTCTAATGAAAATACAGATGGTGGTTAAATTAATAAATAACCGAGGTAATTTTCCACGGCAGAGATCCTCAACTTCGTTAAGAAATTACGAGAAGGATGACTCCTTCAATTAGGTCTGCCAAGTTTGGCGATACAAAAGATGGGAATAAATGATACAAACTTTGACTTCTGACGACAGAGATTTTTCATTCTGTCGAGGGATAATGAAACGAGTGACTTTTTTATCCGGCTTGCCAAGCTTGCCGCTGAAAATATGAACGATGATAATTGGAGTCACTGGGTAAAGTAAACGATACACCTGAAAGTACCGACAGAGATTCCGACTGTGAATATTTCCAAACATCGAGCTTCTCGTGGGCAGGAATTTTAAATAACGAAGCCAGCCAATCTCAAAAAGGTGGATGAAAGGGCGGCTCTAATTTAGGTGGTTTGAAAGCCAGAGATTTTATCTTCGCGCTTTAAATAATACAGCTTTCTGACTTTGAGCTCGTTAGGCGCGAGCTCTTTCATTTCGCGCTTTCGAGCGTGCAACTTTCTGACTTTGAACTTCCTAGGCCAGAAATTTTTTATTTTCCGCGTTTCAGGGTAGAACTTACCGACTTTGAGTTACCCAAGACAGACGGAAGACAAAGCCTGCCAACTTCTGACGTCCAACCACCGAACCTGTTACATTTTACCTACCCAAAATTACAGTCTTGCCTTTAAATTCATCCCTGGTGTTCAAAAAATATTTTAAAAATCCACTCACTACCAAGAATCTTCCTGATTCCAATTGGATCAAATTTTTATCTCATAAAATTTCGTATTAAAAATTCATCCTGACGTGCAATTATCGAACTTGTTATATTTTATCTCCAAAAATTACAATTTTCCCTTTAAATTTATCTCCGGTGTTCCAAAAATATTTTAAAAATTCACTCATTACCAAAAATTTTCCCGTTTCCAATTGATCCGAATTTTTATCTCATAAAATTTCGTATTAAAAATTCATCGTGGCGTTCAACCACCAAACCTGTTACATTTCATCTCCCAAAATTACAATTTTCATTTTAAATTTATCCCCGGTATTAAAAAAATATTTAAAACATCCACCTTTTCTATAGACGCTAAATTCACTACCACGAATCTTCCTGACTTTAATTGGTCCGAATTTTGATCCCATAAAATTTCGAATTAAGAATTCATCGTGACGTTCAACCATGGAACCTGTTACATTTTACCTCCCAAAATTACAATCTTCCCTTTAAATTTACCCCCGGTGTTCAAAAATATTTTAAAAATCCACCTTTTCTTTAGACGCTATATTCACTACCAAGAATCCGTATTTTTATCCCACAAAATTTCGTACTAAAAATTCATCGGTAATGCGTAACCATTTTGGAATTATATAAATTTAAAATTGGCTGGAAGAATTGTAGAGAAAGCAATTTATCTTCCAAAATTACAATCTTCCTTTAAATTTATCCCCGCTGTTCAAAACATATTTTAAGAATCCAGCTTTTCTTTAGACGCTAAATTCACTACTACGAACCTTCCTGACTCCAATTGGTTTGAATTTTCATCCCCTAGAATTTCGTATTAAAAATTCATCGTGAGAAATTTTATATAATATCGATAACGCGTAACAATTTTGGAATTATATAAATTTAAAATTAGCTGGAAGAAATGCAGGAAACGCAGATATCGAGACCATACATATAACGAAGACCATAATTGAGAGGAAGAAAGAAAAAGAGGATGTCATGATAGCAGAAAAATGGCGGCGTTTCCTGTACCAAATCGCCGCTCGATCATTGTCCAATTATCGCGATAATCTCGCTGCAGGCTCGACTAATCGTAATTTATGTGCCGTTGTCGTTCGATTCCTCCATTTTCATTTTGCACGATCGCTATTTCGTAGGGAGATGCTGGAAGAAAAATTGAAAAAGGTCGGGGGGAGGATGAAATCGAAAGTAAAAACGCGGAAGCGCGATCTTCGTGATCTTCTAGGATGAATCAGGGAAATATTTCCGAGGAACGAAGGGAGGGTGGAATATTGATTAAACGGGGGTGGTTCGGTGGCCGAGATCTGGGATTAAAAAGGAGGGTGGATGCGATGGAACGGAATCCATAATTAGCGCGAACAGCTTAGTAACGCGAACGGTTACACGCGTATGTATGGCTCCCTAAACTCGCTTTAGCCGCACTTTATAGCTCGCCAACTGGTAGGCATTAATTTGCGTGCGGTTTTAAGTATAGCGACGCTCAGCGCCGCCATTTTGCGCCCTGCTGGGACGATCGTCTTCGATAAATTAGCGAATACTTGATTCTATTAGACGAATATTCCTTTAATATTAATTAATTAATTATTAATAATGAAGATGTTAATTAATATTAATTCTGTGCTATGTGAGGGGGTGAGAGGGCTTGTATTGGTATTATGGCAAATTACAGGGGATTAAGTTATCGTTAGTTAGGCTTGAAATGGGATGTATCTTAAAGAAAAAATTGCAATGAATTTTGTTCATTTTCATAGGTTTAAATATTGTTTAAATATAAATTTTCGTGATATAGGGGATGATCTTATGATTGGAGAGTTATGATTAAATTTCGGGGGATTCATTTTATATTGATGATATTCAATGGTATATTCAATAAATAAACTGTAGCAAACTTTGTTTCATTCTTCTAAATTAATTATATCCCAGCATCCTCTTTATACGAACCTTTATACCATAGGGGTGGATTGATGTAACAATATTTCGCAGAGAATTAATTTAATATTGCCAATATTTAAAATCATACTGTAACAAACGTTGTTTCGCTTCTACAAATTAATTATAATTCCAGTGTTCGTTTCGGGTGAATTTTCAAACGACAGGGGTAGATCGAGCTAATAACAAGTTCTACAGAATCAACCCCATATTAACGTCATAAAGGAAGTAATATATTGCAAGAAAATCCAGCAAAATTTGTAACAGCTTTTGTTTCACTCTTCTCTCTCGATCAACCCTCGAAATCCCACGTTTTTACTTAACATCCCCGTTAACAGTAATCCCTGGAATAACATCTAAAAAGCCAGCAGCAGTAGCAGCAGCAGCAAGAGTCCTAAAGACTCTTCATTAACCAAAGGGGCCCTAAATACCGAGCGAGAGATAAAAGAAAAACTCCAATCATCATTTCCAACCCTCAAAGCGTTTCCCACGATTTCACCTTTCCCAAGAACCTTCACACCGGCCCAGCCCTCGTAGCTCTCTTCACCGGCGTTCACTCTTTAATCCAGCCACAACTGCACGCATTCATTTATCCGCGGGCTCGCGAGGCGCGGGGGTGCACAGGACAAGGGTTCGTGCGAACGAGAGAGAAAAACGCAGGTGGGCGAAACGGAGAACAGGCAAGGAAGGAGAGAGCGGAGAGAAGAGTGGCGAGAGCGGGAGACAGAGACGAGAACTTTCGGCGGGGGTCAATCCTGGTGACCCCTTTGTCCGGTTCCACCAGCGGTCTTTGTTCGGCCAGTGTTGTCGAGCCACCATAGAATTTGCCTCTGAATTATTGGGGCTCGACTCGAGTTTGCGACTGGTCTCACCCTCCTCCACCTACGAAACCAGCCGATTTTGTTCGTTTCGCAACCCTTCTGCTCTGTCTCCACTGCGTACACGATATTTCGAGTCGCAGTGAGGCTAGGTCGATTGATCTTTGACTAGGAAGATCAAAAGAGAGTGTTTGAAAGTACTTGAGAACATTTGAGACCCTGGAAGTTAGATAGGTCGGCAGTCGAATCGAGTTCTGAGTAGAGAGACCAGTTGGGAGCATCTGAGAGTATCTGAGAGTATTTGGGACCCTGAAATTTGGATCTATCTTTGATTAGAGGGACCAGAAGGGAGTGTCTGCGAGGATCTGAAAGTATTTGGGACCCTGAAATTTGGATCTATCTTTGATTAGAGGGACCAGAAGGGAGTGTCTGCGAGGATCTGAAAGTATTTGGGACCCTGAAATTTGGATCTATCTTTGATTAGAGGGACCAGAAGGGAGTGTCTGCGAGGATCTGAAAGTATTTGGGACCCTGAAATTTGGATCTATCTTTGATTAGAGGGACCAGAAGGGAGTGTCTGCGAGGATCTGAAAGTATTTGGGACCCTGAAATTTGGATCTATCTTTGATTAGAGGGACCAGAAGGGAGTGTCTGCGAGGATCTGAAAGTATTTGGGACCCTGAAATTTGGATCTATCTTTGATTAGAGGGACCAGAAGGGAGTGTCTGCGAGGATCTGAAAGTATTTGGGACCCTGAAATTTGGATCTATCTTTGATTAGAGGGACCAGAAGGGAGTGTCTGCGAGGATCTGAAAGTATTTGGGACCCTGAAATTTGGATCTATCTTTGATTAGAGGGACCAGAAGGGAGTGTCTGCGAGTATCTGAAAGTATTTGGGACCCTGAAATTTGGATCTATCTTTGATTAGAGGGACCAGAAGGGAGTGTCTGCGAGTATCTCAGAGTATTTGGGACCCCGGAAGTTAAGTAGATCGGAAGTCGAATCGATTTCTGAGTAGAAGGACAGGATGGGAGCACCTGAGAGTATCTGAGAGTATTTGGGACCCTGGAAGTTAGATAGATTGGAAGTCGAATCGATTTCTGTGTAGAGAGACCAAATAAGAGTACC